AGGGAGGAGGAGAGAGGAGATGGCAGAAGAGGATAAGGCAAACCAGGGGGGGGAAAGGGGAGGCTGCAACAGGAGGAGTTAACTCACGAGAAGAGATGCTCGGCGATGTTGGTGACGTGCGGGAGAGGAGAGGAGGAGAAGGACGGGAGGTGACCTTTCTTTTTGTTCTCACCCCACACCTGAAACGTCTCATCACAATCCCTTGCTCCCTCCCCTCCCCTCCCTCCCCTCACACTCCCCTCCCTCCCCTCCCCTCTGTCCTCTCCCTCCCCTCCCCTCCCTCCCCTCCCTCCCCTCCCTCCCCTCCCCTCTGTCTTCTCCCTCCCCTCCCTGTCTTCCTCCCTCTGCCTTGCTCCTTCAATCCTTCTCTCCTCCTGCTTTTCCCATCGGTCTCTCACTTGCAACTTAGCGACGTTGATCAGTTGGCGGCGAACAAAGCTCAACGCCTGAGAAGCGAACAAGTCAGAGACAGCAAGACAAGCACGAGCAGGTCATTGAGGTCAATGTCAAATCAAACAACAACAAGCCAACCGTGTCTTGTAGAAGAAGTTCAACCTGCAATCAATCTCAACCAAACTTTATTACCACCACCATCACTTCTTCACCTTAGCACGATGCGACTGCAACATCGACGGGCTCCTGACAAGACAGATGAAATCTTTCGTCTGCATGACTAGTCACGCAACACTCCCAGGAGGTTCCCAGCTTACCTTGGACTTGGCGATCAGCTTCTCGAGAGCCGGGAGCCGTTGAGCATCTGCAGTCAAACTCAGCTCAGATGAACGACAACGAGTCAAATCAGTCGATGAAGTCAGGAATGAGCTTCTCAACCGCGCTGTCCTACCTGACAAGATGTAGCGGACGGGCGGCGACTGCATTGCAGACTTGATGGTTGTCTTGGTGGTAGGTCAGGCAAGGAGAACAATGAGTGCACATGCAGATGCTTACGGGTTCAAACAGCTGCTGTCCGAATCTGCAAACGAGTTCTTGAAGCAGAAAGTGAGTTGAACAAGATCATCATCATAACAAAATGAACAACCTTTGATACGATCATCAAGCTCCTGCAGCTGTTTGGGAAGCGCGTCGGCCAAAGACAGAAGAGAAATGGCACCCTGATACAAACACGATCATCATTAACAAACTCACTACCACCTCCCGAACAACATGATCATCATCATTAGTATCATCATCATCAAAGACAAGAATAACCTGCAGGAACGTCCAATCTTTCTCATTGCCATCGACAAGGTCCAGCATATCCGAGTCGGCCTCATCAACCAATCGCATCTCGTCGTTCTCTCCTCCCTCCTTGTCGCTGCTGCTCTTCGCCTTCACCTCCCCTCCCTTCCGCGCCTCGTCCAGCTTCGCGATCTCCCGCAGACGCTCAACCCCTGCCCCCAACGCCTGCAGAAAGCTGCCGAATGCTGCGCGAGAAGGGTGAGATGGAGGAGGGGGGAGGAGGGGGAAAAGATGAGAAGATAGCGAGGGGGGAGAGGGAGAGGGAGGGAAGGAGCGGGGGGAGAGGGGGAGGGAAAGAGAGCGAGGGAGAGAGAGGGAGGGGGAGGGGGAAGATGGGGAGGGTAGAGGCCGAAGAGAGGGAGTACCAGAACGAGGAAGGGATTGAAGAATGGAAGGAGAATAAGGAGATCAATGCAGGAGGGAGGAGGGAGGGGGCGTCTTACCTTCATCGACCATGCGAGCCGTCGTCACAGCTTCTGCCCCCCCAGTGAACTCGATCGAATGCTCCCCTGCTGCTCTGCTCGTCTCTGTCAGCGATCGCAACATGGCAAGGAATTCGAACCTCAGGGAAGCGAAGGACTTGGACGTGACGGTCTCAAAGAGATCCAAACTCTCCCCGAAGGTGTGCATCTCCTGAAATGAATGAATCATCTCCATCTCTATCTAATCCTCCTCCTCCATCTACTTCTTCTCCATCTCCACCATCAACACCACCACCTCCTCTTCCAGCATCATCAATGTCAATGTCAAGGTCAAGGTCAAGGTCATTCATATCCTCCTCCCCCATGTCGAATTTTGCTCTGTTGTTGTGCTAATGTGTTGTGCTAATGTGTTGTGCTAATGTGTTGTGCTAATGTGTTCACCTTCAAACTTCTCTTTGTCATCTCGAATTCTTTCTCCAGTCTCTTTGCCTTGACAACATGTCACTTTCACCAGCAAGCTCTCAGTCCTCACCTCCTTTGCTGGATAATCCTTCTGAACGCGTTCAATCAAAGACATGGTCGTTATGATCGCTTGGCTGACATCAGTCTGCATCATTGTGGTTAACATGTGATGTTTACCCTCACTTGTACCTCTTGCAGTTTGTTCCTTGAAAGCAAATCTCCAACAGTGATCGCAATGTTCGAAATTTCGACCAAGATGTTCTGAAAATGTGCTCTTCAGAACAAAGCTACAAAAAAGCTTGATTCTCCGACCTTGACTGTGTGGAAATTTTCGTTTGTCTTGCTTGCTTCGAAGAACTCCTGAAATCCAAGTTAAATTCAAACGCCTCTCTCACCGGCAGATAACAATCCATTCACTCACTTCTGACATTGAGTTTTGAAATGGGGTCGAGATGGTCTTGATAAAATCAATCCAAAGAGCTGGAGAATATTCAGATCAAAATGCTCAGATAACAAGAGAAACTCACAGGAGACAAAGATAGCACTGTCTGGAAACACCTAACACAATCGTAAAGAACCAATGTGGAAGGCGACTCAGGATACTTGGATACACCAATCCATCTCCGTCTGCAGAGCTTTCTCGAAATCCTAAGACCAAATCAGCAAGAACAGCACTCAAACCCTTCGCCAGTCTCTTACCTCTTTCAGAGTGGACAGACGAGAAAGGTACTCCACAGACTTTGACTCGGAGAAGGTCGAATAGATCTGATTGAACATCACCAACAGTCCCTGCCAATCTCTCTTGAGGACCTTGATCAGATGGGGCTTGCGAGCTTGAACGTATCGGGTGATCAGAATATCCCTCCTCTGCCACCTCAGATTATCGCCAGCACCTCCCCAACAGGATACCCAGCAACCACCTGCATCTGATCGTAAATCTCGAGACAGTCCTTCGTGGCCTGTCAAATATCGGTCAGAGACAATCTCAGTCGGAGGAAACAGCAGGCAGCACCTGGACGTCCAGCTGCTCGATCCCCTCCTTTAGCTTCGAGCTCATACGCTGTCCGCTGACAGTCATTGTCTTGCTGAAAACCCCCTGGCATCATGTACTGACCTTCTCTAGTCGATCCTCGTAAGACTTCAGCGTGTTGGCTGCCTGTTGTGAGCAAGAAACGACCACTCAGACAAACAACCACGTCGATCATCATTCAAAACATCGCAAGAAACAAGATGCCTCCTGGCATACAACAGCGAGGGCGAAGCAGACATGTTTTAGCTTTCCGACCTCACTGAACTCTTCCAGGTTCCCCATGGCTTGCAAGCTTCGTCTGAGACTGCCCAGTCGAGCAGCGATCTGCTTCAGCTCATCCACCTGCCGCATCATGTACGCAAGTCACTCCCGGGAGGAAGCTGCGAACTCGTTCCACCTGAAAGAGAGGCTCAATCTGCGCGAGCGTCCTCGTCAAATTGTCAGCCTCTCCCAGCGCATGAGCGCATTCCTGTCCTCGTCATCAGCGATCCTTCACACCTCCTTCATGCCCTCACCTCCATCCTCGTCTTGATCGCATCCAAGGTAGCCAAGGCCGCGACTGTCTGCTGCCCGCTCCTCTCGACCTCCGACACCTTGTCGAGCACCTTGACAGCAAGCGTCAACCCCAGCAGACGAGGGCGCAGACCTCACCTGTGCCATCTGATGTGCCAGCAGCTCGGCATCGCTCCCCACTCGCTGTATATCTATCATGGCCTGGAGGAGGCAAGTCAGGTGCGAGGCTTGACAAGTCAGGTCCTCAACCTTGGGTAGCTCTGAGAGAAGCTTGACAGCCGAGTCATCTATGGACTTGTTCGTCGACTGGCTCAGCAGCTGAAGCTTCACCACGAGGGTTGCCAGGTGATCATCTACATTCGACCCTTTCACGTGCCCTGCGGCCTCTGCAAGGGCGGTGCTGGAGCGTACTTGCTCGTTGACCCAGCGCTTGACGTCGAAGTCATCCTGGCAGAACTCATCCAGCTCCATCTGAACAACACAAGGTCAGGAGCAGCATGAAGCATCTTTCGTGTATCTCTCTATTCTCACAGCAATATCTCAAACGACTCCTTATCATCGTAAAGATTTTCATCTGCTGAAATCCTTCAACGCTCTTCCATTCTGGCAACTATGGAACACAGTTTTTCTTCATGGGAGAGTACATCATGCAAGCTTCGCTTCTACCTTTGGCTAAACCCTAAACTTCATCTCTCTTTTTCTTGTCGCCTCGAAATCCCTAGGAGCTTTGGTTGTCTTTACTTCTCCTCGCCCTCCAAGTTCTTCCTCCACCCTCTCCACCTCGTCCTCGTCCTCGCCCTCGCCCTCGCCCTCGTCCATATCATCGTTCACATCCTAATCATCGTCCTCCTCCATGTCGTCATCATCAACCTCCTGGTTCTCCCCTTACTCCCTTACTCTCCCTGCCCTTCCTCCTGCTCTCACTTCCTCCTAATAAAATGTACGGCATGATCCTGGAATCGTCCAATGCCGATCTACCCCACCCCACCCCTGCCATTCATTTCAACAACATACCTGACCCCCACCCCTCATAAATTACTCAATTCCTTCCAGATTATCTATACAAGTCCACAACCCCACCCCACCATTTATGACCCCGTCATAACGACCACCCCCCTTTCAAGTTCCCTGCGCTTCGTCACAGGATGAAGATGCGAGCATGAGAGGGTCGGAGGAGGAGGCAGGAGGAGGAGCAAGAGCGTGAAGGGCAAGCAACCACTACACAGTCATACATTGACATCGCGACAGAGCAGAGAGGGCCTTGAAGAGCATCACTTCTGACTGTTCGACCTCTGTCTCCTCGCCGTCATGTTGGCTTTTGCCAATCAGGTCAGCTCATTCGTGCAAGGTGTGCTCGAATCGTCCTGGACTTTGGACATCAAGCTGAAGGATCAAGAGCAGAGAGAGTTTGTCAACGTGAACTATGAGAACAACGAATTAACCTGCCCTGTCATGGGAGAGAGCGAGGAGGTTGCCGGCAATCTCTTGATTTCGGTAAAGGAAGGAAGGTACCTTGATCACGAAGGGATATCTTTGGAGCTCATCGGACGATCAGAGATTATTGAAAACCCAGAGTTCGATTACATCGAGAAGGATCAATTCCTCTTCTTGTCCAGGGATGTTGCCCCCCTCGGTCGCCTGGAGCCCGGGGAGCACAAGTTCGATTTCAACTTCGGTGCCGTGCAGAAGCCCTACGACTCTTACTATGGTCACTTCGGTTACATCCGATACTTCCTGCGGATCGTGATCAGACGTGGCTTCAGGGGCGATATCATGCACGAGCAGGACTTCGCTGTGCAGCTCCTGAGCGACAAGATACCCACCGATGACAACAACCCTCCCATCAAGATGGACGTGGGGGTACAGGACTGCATTCACATCTCCTTCATGTACGCGCACTCGCACTACGCGCTGGACTCCATCTTGACAGGGTGCATTCAGTTCCAGATCGTGCGTCTCAACATCATCGCCATGGAAACCATCCTCATCAAAGTCGAGACGGTTGAGCCGCGAGATCGTTACAGTCCACGTCTGGTCTTTTCTGAGCCAGTGAGCAAGATGGAGATTATGGACGGGACGCCAGGGAGAGGAGAAAGCGTGCCTGTCAGGTGGCCTCTGGCTGGGGTTGGGATCGGGCCAACCCTGAAGCATCCGAAGGTGAACGTCAAGTACCAGATCAGACTATCGCTGATAGACGAGCGAGGACGACAATTCTTCAAACAGTGCGAGATTGTCTTTCATCGGAAGAAGATCACTGGCGATAATCCTCCATGGAATACAGAAGAAGGGGTTGAGAAGAACTGGGCTGATTTTAACGCAAGGCAAGACAAGAATGCCAAGAGTGGGATTTGGTGAAACTGTGGAGAGAACTGTCCAAACGAGTGAAAGCGTGGTGTAGTTGTATACGGAAGAGAATGCCTCGTACAACCCTGATATTATCGGTTTGATTCGTTTCGTTCAGCTTTGATTGAATCTCGTAATGAAAGCTGTTAACCCGGACCTCCCTTCTCACGCCTCCTCTGTGTCATAAAAAAACTGATAACAGAAGGCACAGAGTTTGACAGAAGAGTAGCTGAGCAAAGCAAGCAAATCGTCACATGTCCTCCACACATTCAAGTCAATTACCGCGCCGATGCCGATCGAAGCCTTGCGTCTGTCGATGGTATACCAGCTCCCCATCTGCACTCCAAACTCACAACCTTTCCACCAATGCAAAACATGGAGATTAAATCCATGCATCAAGACCATGTCTCAACATAATGGGAGGGAGGCAAAAATAACTCACTTCTTCCGCAAGTTTGCAATCGCTTGAAACGAAACTATTCCGGGAAGATTGTGCTCTTCAAACTCCAGGCCGCACAACCCGCACTGTTTCACCCTGACGAGGCCTTGCACGCTGTAAGAAAACACAAGAATAATTTGAAGACAACAAGAAGACCTGTTGATACAGGATCATTCAGCTTGTCCTTCGAGTCATCTTCGCTTGACTTTCCTTTTCTTGGTGTCTTGGGGATGCGAGGCAAGAAGTTGACCGACTCTTGTACGCCTTGTCGGCTCATGAGCTTGTCCCGCGGTGCAAGGAGATACTCTTGTTGCGATCAAATTGATGTGGTTGATACTCAAACTATCACAGATACAATGAGTGGACTGTATCATTTCAACCCCAACAATATGATCCTCTAGTGTCAATGGGAACTAGGCAATCTGCAATAGTCTGCTACTTCTTCTCCAATACATCGAGCCATCAATCTCAAATGCTAGTTTCAAGGTATCTTCCCTGTTTCCTCACTACTTTCTCAACCTTCATTCCTCCTCTCTTCCTATGACCCCATTGCTGCCCATTCCTCTCCCGACAACCATTTCAGTTGTCCCCAGCACCACTGGCACCGCCTCGGTACGGTCCCCCCCGGGCGGTAGACCCGGCCCGGCCCCGGCCGGGGCATAAACGGAGAGAAACACTAGAGGCTGCCGCTGTGCACTAGAGGTCTTATGGCCCCGGAAGCCAGTGAATTGCGTAGAATTGGTACTGAAGTTTTACTTAAATTTGCTCTGAATTCAGACGGAGCCAGGCCGGTGGCTGCAACATGCATGGAAAAAAATTCAAATTCTCATATCACGATTTCATGTATTTTTGATACATTTTGAATATGCGTCCCTGGCTCAAACGTCCATTTGTGGACACCAAAGTGGGGGGCCTATGCAAGTAGTCTTGGCCATGTCAAGGAATGGTGAACCATTTCAGTATTAAAGTTAAGCTAAATTATGTATACAAACCATCAAAAGATATTAAGATTCTGGTAATAAATGGTGAGGAGTGGGTGAGTGATTATCTCATATCCATGGGGGTTGACGCCCCTTGTCTCTCTGGGGGGGTATACACTTCCATGAGGCATGAAGTGCACGAAAAAGAGCGGTAGGTAACAGAAGCGGCATGGTGCGAGAGGGAGGAGATGAAACCGTTGAACGTGGCGACAAGTCATGCGGCAACGGATACAACAGCTGTCTGTCGAATGAGTCCAACCAGTTGACGTCTCCTTCCTTCCTCGTGTAGTCGAGTGCATCCGCATCTACCGCTTAGATTTGAACCACACGTGAGGGGTGAAGGGAACAAGAGAAGTGAGATGAGATGCTTGTGAAGTCGTTGAAGACTCAGCTATGGAACAGATGTTTGTCACTGTCTGAAAGAGCTTGTGTTTATGTGTCTCGAAGCGTTTCACCTGACTGAGTTTTTGTCCTAAGATAGGCATTCAGGGATTAGACTTGGTTTGGACTGAGGCAACATGCAGAATCAGCAACTTGAGACGTATTAGCGACAGGGCTTCTGTGTGATGATTCTCGAAGAGATGATGATGATGGAGAGCAACCTCGCGTCTGTTTGAATCAAGCTCATTGGAATTAGTCCACCATGGAAAACAGAGCGCGAGTCTTCATCAGAGTCCGTCCAAGAGTGTCACTGGAGGAGGATACTTTCTACAGCATCAAGATTGATTCCCGCAGGAGCATCTCGTTATCCCTTTCAGATGAATGCATGTCGCATGCTGAGGACGAAAGGCATGTCAGCGTTGCCTTTGAATTCGACGGAGTCTTGTCGGAAGAAGCGTCTCAGATCGATGTGTTTGAACAGACCGGCAAGGAAGTAAGTGAGAAAGCTCTCACGGGAATGAATGCCACAATCCTCGCCTATGGACCCACTGCAAGCGGAAAGACTTACACTATGGTCGGCAAACCAGGGGAGGCATCGTGCGAAGATGGCCTTTGCTTGCGAGTGATCAAAAACGTGTTCGAACAAGCCTCTTCTAGCGAGAACGCGTCAAAGCGAGTTCTCGTGTCTGCTTCTTTTCTGGAAGTCTACAACGAGAAGGTGTATGACTTGACAAACAGAAATGTCGCACTCAGCGTCTCGGAAAGTCCCGACAAGGGAGTGGTAGTGGAAGGAGCTAACGAAGTCGCTTTGTCAGCATACGAGCATGCGAAGAAGCTGATTCGACGGGCATTCCGACTGAGGCATAGTGACTCTAACAATGTGAACTCAAGGTCCAGTCGTTCACATCTCGTCATATTCTTTCACATCTGCATCGAGGAGGACAAGCATATGTACCTGAGAAGAAACTACTCTCGTTTGACCCTCGTAGACCTTGCAGGCAGTGAGCGAGGCAAAGTGACAGGTGCCCCCATGTCGACCATCCTCTCCATCTGATCCCCATCACAGGTTTCAACAACAACTATGGCCTGAATGAAGCAAACCACATCAACAAATCCTTGTTGAACCTCGGGAAAGTGATCACCTCTTTGGCAGAGAGCAGCAATCATGTACCATACCGATCCTCAAAATTGACCTTCCTTCTCAAAGACTCTCTCAGTCGAAATTCTTTCATATCTATTATTGGACACATTTCCCCTTCGAAAGATAATTTTGAAGAATCCCTCTCGACCTTGCGCTTTGTCTCCTTCGCACGAACAGTGAAATTGAGAGCAGTTCCAAACATTTGTGAAAACAGTCACTTGTGTTCCAAGTGTGAGAAATTCCTCATCGAAAACAATTTTCTGCTGAAGAATGGAGGCAGCGCTGTGCACAGTGACAACGCGAGTATCAGCGATAACATCAGCGTTGAGTCTTCTCACGAATGTCTCTTCGTGGTGTCGGATTATGACTACTTGATGCACAATCATACTCAGCAGCAGCTCAGCTGGACTGATCGTTCAGGGAGCAAGACAAGTTCAGAGAATGATCATGTTGCTCCCAACACAAACTTCGATGCAAAGTGTCTGACTGAGACTGGGCAGGTGTTGAAGGACGAAGACCCAGAAAAGCATGCAGAGGCTTCAGTCGAGGAGGTGATTGGACTTTCCTGTTGATGGGGCTGCTTGTGACTAGCGAAACAGTTCTCCCAAGTGGACGCAAGATTCAACCATTTGAATTCGATGCTGTATACAATGGAAGATCGGTTGTTCAGCGTGGAATCGAAACTGGTAATGTTGCTGTAGTGATTTGCATGACATGACTCGCACTGATTTTCACAGCGTGTTCAAAATCCAAGCAAGCCGAGCATGAGCCTGCGCTCAGAGGATTGGGAGTTTGACTTGATACGCTCGGAGAGGAAATCCTCCTTCCTCAGCTTGAAAGGCTCAAGGTCGAGCAGCAGTCAGACGTCGCTTGAGCGACCTTTCGTCAGGTTGCCGCTGCAGTCTCCCTTGCTCTTAACAAGCCCGAGAGGATGCGCGGGCAGGCCTTGGATGTCGCAGACCCCGCGAGAGGAAGGACGGCAGCTCCCTTGCAAGGATCCCGACCTCATGACCGAGGACAGCGACCTTGAAATGAGCAACAAAGTCGACCTGCCCCTAGTCTGTACGAGTTCAGCGGCTTTGAGCACTTCCGAATCTTCGTCTATATCCGACGGGGATAGGGTTTCAGTCGGAGAAAACAAGCAGTGTCCTGAGGAACCGAAGCTTGTCTCGGACGAGCCCAACAGATTCAGGCGATCAAGCGGCCGCAATTTATTCAAACCGGATCTATCGAAGTTGCTGAGCTCGTGGGATCACTCGCTGCTGAAGGAGACGAGCGACACTTGCAAGACGGCAGACGTAGAGGCCGACGATAAGAACCTCGTCAAATGCAAGCAAAGTGACGACGGCTGCGACGACACAAACGACTCGATTGACTCGGTTCAAGGATCAAGTTTGACGTCCCAGCAGACAGAAGTCAACAAGTCCATCGCTGAGGCTGCCCCTGTGCATGAAGGTATCCTCTTGAAGAGAGCTAGAAGACTTCTGGGCGTTCTGCAGCTGCGCAAGTGCTCGATCAATCACGACTCGTTCGTCTACACGAGAACAGCTGATGATGACGCCGTCACGGAGGTACATCTCAAGTTGTGCAGCATCCTTGCAATCGAATCTTCCGGTACGAACATCTTGGTTGACAACCTCGGCTGGGAGAAGATGAAGACGAGAGAATTCAGCATCTGGACGTCGAGACGCTCTTACAGCTTTGTCTGTGAGACCCTCCAAGACTGTTACTCATGGTTGCTGTCGTTTCGACTCGCCATGTCCGTTCACCAGGAACGTTGTGCTGCTTGCTCGTCTAAGAGATCTAGCGCTTCCGGGAAACAGGGCGACGCGTGGTATTGTACAGTCTAGACAAATTACCAGTATGCCTTGATGTAAAGTTATGTTGGATCACCAGTGGTATCCATCGTTGCATGTTCACAGCTCCATCACTCAGGACTTCTCTCTGCCCACTGAGTGATGCCTGGCTCACGTGTGTAGATGGCCGAGTAAAAGGTACAGGTACCATCCCTTTTACGCTGTAACCTCCTCCATATCCCTCCCTCCCTCCCTCCCTCCCTCCCTCCCTCCCTCCCTCCCTCCCTCCCTCCCTCCCTCCCTCCCTCCCTCCCTCCCGTCTTGTGCACTCGTAGCAACTTGCATGAAGTGAAAATACGCTTGGGCACTCTGTAAATGCCTGTAGGGGGGGGTAGGGGTCAATCCCGGAGGGAGCGGAGGTAGGCCGGTTCAAAATGCTGTCGCGCTGGGCAGAAGAGGAATGGCGCCGAACAAAGCCGAAGCGAAGCAAGGAGGAGAGGGAGAGGAGAGGAGAGGATCGCGCTGAGAGTAGCCCTGTGCATGATAGAAAACCTGAGCCGAGAGCTGACAGCAAACAGAAGCTGGATAGGAGTAGAGCAACCGATGAGTCCAAGGCTGCGCGGGAGGCAAACCAGGGTGATGTGCAGAGAGGGGAGGGGAAACCTCTCAGCAAGAACAGAAGAGGAGGAGAAGAACATGAGCACAAGAGTGCCGCCATGAGCAGTGAGGCTCCGAGGTCTTCGGCAAGGAAATCAGAGGAGAGGGCAAACAAGTCCCAGCAGCCTTTGACGAAGGACGACATGGTTCGAGAAGAAAAGCTGAGAGAACGAGAGGAGCGCATCAGAGAACGGGAGGAAATGCTGCGACAATGGGAGTTGAGCCAGGAAAAGAGCAGGGCATCTCCCAGCATGAGCGACAGCAAGAAACGGAGCCTTGCTCCCAGGAGAGACCTCGCTCCAAATCGCTCAGGGGGGAATGACATGGCTCCACCTAGCACAGATACAAGTCATCATCTGGTTTCCAGAGCTTCTGGTGCTTCCGTCCCATACTCGCCTTCTTCCAACTATACCAACTCTTCTCCCCGTCCGCTTTCCTCCATCCCGGAGCCATCTCCCCGACAGGTGATCCAGGTGCGATGTTGGATGATCATTTACATGCACCGTTGTGAGATGAGAAGCAGGGTGATCGGTTGGATACTCCTAGAGGGCGGATCACTCCATCGATCTCCTACGAGCGCAATGGTAACGACATGACAGGTCGCTTGACGCTCACACCTGCTGATAGCAATCTTCGAGTCTCCCCGCGATGGACGTCAACATCGTACTCAAGAAGTTATCGAGGAATTTTCTCCAAGAGTTCATTTTTCATGGGAGTCAAAAGGTGAGAAAGGATTCAAGACTTCATCTATTCAGCGTGTCATGATGTTGCCTTGTAGAAAATGTTTCGATATCGGCCGACGAGCTCGGGACTGTCTCAAAGATTCCTGTTCCACGACAACACCTCCTACACCAACTGTCTGAATCCGAAAGCATGTTGAGGGCGACAAACGAGAGAAACGAAGAGCTAGAGATTCGAGTCCGGGACTTGGAATCAAAACTGGCAAAAGCCAAGACTGCAGAAATTCAGACCTTTGAAAACTTGATACAAACCGAAGGCGAGCTTCGGAGGCTTCGGAACGCCTCTTCCGCATGGCAGACCGAAAAGAGCATGCTGTTGAAGCGGGAGAAAGAGCTTGAGGATTTGTTGAGAGAAGAAGAGAGAAAGAATGTCTGAACATGCACCTTTCAAGATTCAAGCTCTGACACATTCACTCAGGCACACCATCGCGGCGAAGAGGTGACCGAATCTTTTGCTTGTCCTTTCGACTAGAACTGACGAAGATCGCTATTCAAATCTTACTGCGAAGGCTGCGAGGACAAGAGCGTAATTGATACCCACTTGTATATGCAGTCGAGTTGAGACTCTGTCAGGTTGACGGATGAAGTGGATGCCCTGAAATCAAAGCTAACGTCCAAGCAAGTTGCACTGGTGCTATTCCGATCTGACCTGAGCTCGCCTCAAGAAACAAGTTGAGATGATTTTATCTTCAGGACGATTTGCATCAAAGATATGAGGAGACGTTCCAGGAGAAACTGTCCAAGATTCATTCACACTGGAACAGAATGAAACAGGTTCGAAATCATGGTCTTCTCTCGAGGCTGCAGCATTGAACATGGTCTACAGGATAAGCATGCTGATGTACTGGTGATTCAGAACAAGATTGAAAGGATATTCTCTGCCGTTGATGCCTTGGAAAAAACACTTTCCGCCGCGCAAAGCTACGCAACTTCGTCGAATGTTTTTCAAGTGCTCGCCGTTTAAATTCTCTTGCGGCTCTGGTTGTAATTTGATGCTCAGCCTGCTTCACGAGCCTTCTTCCCGCGCAGTCTTGGCAGAGCAGGCAGAGAGAGGCTGCATCAGAACAGGGTGAGATAGCCATAGTCTGACCCCTGCCGGTGACCTGCTGACCTCCCACAGGGATTCCAGAGGGAAAAAGATTTTCTTGAGCTCAGTTCGATCGACGAGCGACCGTCTGAGCTCTCTGCGCATCCCTCGAAAGAGTCAGCTAAGGTGAGCTCCTGTATCCTTCCCTCCTGCTTTGACGTGCCAGGGTCACAAGATTCGGAATGGGCAGGAGGATGTGGCTTTTGACATCGACTTGACCTTCGGCTCGGACTCTTCCATGCACTCCAAGTCCTCATTGTCGCTCAGTCCCTCCATCCTGGCCTTCGATAGTAGGCGCTCCTCCCTCGCAAACCCCCTTGACGAGCTTTTCTAGGCAGCCTGCACTTTCCCGTCAAGGTGGCTACCGAGGAAGCCAACGCGCGAGACGTCAAGGGCGCAGGGAGCATGGGAAGCATGCTGGGGGTACGACAACTCAAGGACGCTGAGTCCTCGGAGCCTCCAAACTCAGCGAGGGAGAGCAGAAGACCCAGCAGCGACACTCCTGCCAGTCTCAAGGCTTTCGGGCTCGTCCCGGGAGATGCTCACACGTCAAGGCCTGCGGGCCCTCATGCAGAGCAGCAGGGCACGAGCAGGACGCCAACGACACCCAGGAGTGAGCAGTCTGTGATCCCTCTACGAGTGCCGTACACCACAGGGTCGAAGACGGCTCGAGGAAGGCTGCAGTCTCAACCCTACGAGGAGATGGTGAGCTGTGCTCGTCCGATCCTCACTGATGTGAACGGCAGATCGGTTGGAAGTCCAATCAGAAACCCTCCATGCGAGCCAAGACTGACTTGGACTACAACCGCGCTGACGTCAAGCATGACGTGAGCAAGTTGACATCTCTGCTTGCCGCATCTCCTTCGAGCAAGGTCTTGTGGGCGAACAGGAATCATGTGAGTTGATCCCAGGCTATCGTGTGGGTACTGAATCTCACCTAGGCGAAGGTGATCATCACTTCACATGATGGTCGTGAACAGGAAATCAACATAGAGGCGGATTCATGCATGTTGTGCTGACTGAGGCTGAATGTCATCACGTCATTTTTTGTGTACAACTGTTTACTGTAAATAATGCTTTAGACGCTCATTTGGCAATCTGCCGGCGACTTGAGCACCATGAAAAGAATCCGTGAAGCTGCGAGGCTACAACGCTTAGTGGCGGTTGTAGAAGTAGTCCCACTGGTGGCGAGCGCGGCGCCAGTCATCGTAGGAGGCGGCATCGTTGGCACGGTAGTAGGTGTCCTCGGACTCCTGGTAGAGAGCACGGGCCTGGGTGTTCTGAACGAACGCCTGGGTGTAGAGGTTGGCAGCCTTCTTTCCGTAGAGGATGGTGCGCATTCTGAAAAGATATGTGAGATTCTGACCACTTTGCCGGTCACAGTACACATCAAATCACGGTTGAATACAATGATCGAAATAGAAGACAAATTACAGCAAGACAAGAAATATTCAGTGACTTTCAAGACAAGTAAACTCATCATCTTTCGCCCTACCAATTCTACTAATGATCCCCTTGATATCACCTCTGGCTTTCCTTGCATGCATCGTCTTGTCATTTCATCATTTCAGATCCATATACATGTCTCAACATTCTTCCTATTCTCTCTTCTCATTGTTCATTATGCAACATCTCCTTTGATCCTTCCAACGTGCATGACCGCTGGAACATCCACACAACCCTCCGGCATGGCTGACCTGTCGCTGGTGTCTCTTCGTCAACCCCCCTAGCTTTTTGAACAGCCAGCCCACCCGCACCCTACCCCTCTCCCATGTACCACCCTACGTACCATTTTTACCACATCTCATTCGAGGCAGTACCGGTACTATAAGGAGCATTCTATTCTCCGGCAACGACCCGTGTTGGGTCTCCGAAAAGCGAAGGGTCAAGAGACATCCTGTGTACTTTGAAATCTTATTTGTTATTTTCAAATATTACCTGTGCAATATTTGTAATTTTCCATTCAAAAGTGCAACTACCAAATTTGCTTCGAACATTTCAATTATCTCAGAGCGAAGGGAAATAAATTCAACTTGACTAAGGGTCGTGACAGGCTGGCGGTTTCGGCCCGGGCCTGAGCCGCCGGGGCAGTCGGACCCGCCGCAGGGCCGGGCATCCGCGGCCGTCACTGTCACGCGGCCGAAACCGTTGAACTTGAGAGGACCAGATTGCTTGAACGGATCATCGGATCATCGATTATCGTTTGCGACTCGTGCAGTGCCTACAGTCACTGAGTGCCGGCAGCAGCCGCGCCGGGTAGGTCCCCGGCCCCGCCGGGCCAGCCCCCCCCCCCGGGCCCGGGCCCTCCAAAAGTTCATGTTTTGTTGATTGTTCTTAGTGCCCGGGAAAGGTTCAGACTTGAACTGATGAGAGGCTTCAAAACGGTCAAATCATGCCTGGCCAAGCCGCGTCATGGCCGCTAAGCGCTGAACTGCTGCCAAAGGAAGCAGTTCCAATCTTGTCATGCCGGGAAAGAATGAGTGCGAGAAGAAGCCTGATAGCAGCAGGAGGGATCAGGATACTATCAGCTCAGAGAGCGTGAGGAACGAATGTAAAGATATGTTGGGGAGCCCCTGAGGTCAAGGTTTCAACACGTGAGTTGGTCACTAACATCATGATAAGGCGAGAGCAAGGAGAGAGAGGCCGAGTTAAGTTGTGATAGGAGAACAAGCACAGGATCAAGAAGTTTGAAAGCGACTCGAGATTTTAACAAGGACATTTGCAAAAACAATAGGACGGAGGAGAGAGAACATGCTGCGAGGGGAGGCGAGGGCTCGAAGACGATGGTAGAAGAAGAGAAGATACATTCTTTTCATCCAGGATACTTTGCAAGCACAATGATCAAGGTGCCTCTAGGGCAGGATGACCAGCGTCCGCAGGATGAGGCAGGGCCTCCTCCCTTGACTGCCGCCAGGGATCACTCATTGTGGACATGGAGTGGCAGCGATGAGGCATGAGGATGCAGGAGGAGGGAGAGTGAGCATGACGAGGAAGAGATGCGTGAGAGATGTGATGAGCAACTGACTGTGTCTGAGAGATGTGATGAGCAACTGACTGTGTCTGAGAGATGTGATGAGCAACTGACTGTGTCTTGATACGCGCCATGTCTTGATATGCTCCTAGTAGCAGAGGTAGCAGTTGTAGATGTAAACGATTGCCATTAGCTAATTCAGTTCTGACCAGCGTGCGAATGGCAGGTTGCATGAGAGATGGGGTCGTACACCCATGTCCACTTCATCAACGCTCCTTTCTCAGCTCCTGAAACCAGCGCGTACTCGCGCAAGAAACCGCTAGAAAGAATCATGGAAACAACCAGCACAGAAGACTTCGAAAAGATGAGAACGTCAGCAGCAATTCAGATGCAAAGTTTTGCACGCCGGAAGATCTACCATTCTAGGTTCTGGACTTGGTGAGAGCGCGAGAAAGAGTGAACGGTATTCTTCCTGTCGGTGACTGTGGTGATAGGCGGGAGAAGCTACAGCAGCTTAAGCGCCAACTCCATACTGCTCAACTCCTGCGAGATCAGCTGCTGGCAGCTGAGCTCAAACGTTCCCCGCTGTCTGCCTTCGTGAAGCGAACGCTCCTTCAGAGAGGTCTGCTCAGGAAGAAAGCAGCAGCGTGCAAGCTACAGAGCTTACTCCGCGCCCTTCTGGTGAGGAAGGGAAGCTACGGGAAAGAGGACTGGGATGGAGTCCTTGAGTCCCTCAGCGACAGTGAGGGAGACGACAGCCTTTCCAAGTTCGGGGACGAGTCGTCGGAGGAGGAAGCGGACGACTTCAACATGCAGGTTTGCTGTGATGGGTCACTTGCCTTGTACCTGACTGCTCCTCCCCCACTCTCCTGGCAGTCGGAGGCAGAGCCGATGTCCATGAGCCTCTCCCTGCCCCACACTTCCATGGCAGAAGTGCCGAGACTGAGCTCAGCGGAGGCTAGCAAGGCGTTCCAGCTGTTGGACAGCAAGAGGCGGGGAAGCATAACGCCCGACGAGCTCCGCTATGGCCTCGCGTGCTATCCTTACTTGGCGCAGAAGTTGAACCTGAGCTCGGAGGAGACGGTCGAGCTCGCCATCTATCACATGCTGAGGTCGTCCAACAGCTCGCACAGAATCGCATACCATGCGTTCGCTAGCTACTTCTTGGACGAGCAGTCGGTGAGTGTTTTGCTCAAAACTCCCCAGCCAGGGACGGAGGGTATGCCGCAGCGGCTCCCTGTCGACGCCTATGTCGATTTCCGACTGATCCGAGAGGAGCTGGAGAGGAAGATGAAGGAAGCAGAGGAGGCGCACAACAAGAGGGTGCAGGAGCAGGCGGAGATGAGGAGAGAGGAAAGGCGGGGAGTCGGGAAGCAAGGAGGCGAAGATAAGAGGCAAGAGAAGGGAAAGGAGCACGGAACGCTGGAGAACAAGAGAGAGGAGCAGAGATGGGAAGGTAAGAGAGAGGACCATAGCCTGCCGATGGGGTTCAAGCAGGTGAGGTTGAGGAGGAGCAGGAACGGAAATTCCATCAGGTCTCTTGGTCTTGGTTTCTTTGCGGACAAGGAGACAAAGGACGTGGTTATCGACGAGCTGCTTGCGGATTCTCCGGCAGCGAGGAGTCGCGTGCTTGCTGTGGGAGACTACATCAGGAAGATAGACGGACAAGACGTGGGCGGCAAGGAGAGCAGAGAGATCGACGACTTGCTCTCCGGCCCTGCCGACAGCTTCGTCGACCTCTTGATCCAAGATCAGTCCGATGCCCTTCGGGACAAGCCGCCTTCTCCTCGTGTAAGCTCGAGGCCTCATCAGCACGTGCGGATCCAGGAGGAACGGAGCAAGGCGTTCGCTCCTGCTCCTCCTGCTCCTCCTGCTCCTCCTGCTCCTCGCTATGATCCAAGGAAAGCACTCAACGTTGAGCTACACCTCACCAACGACTTCGATGACTTCATTTCCGGCGGTTCAGTTGTCTCCGTTCGCAAAGCCTCCTTCTCCGCACAGGTTCTCTCCTTCTTCCTCCTCCCCCTCCCTTCATGACGCGTCCCCTTCAGGCCACCAACGAGATCGCGCGCTCGTTGAATGCTCTCCCTGCCCGCATCTTCGTCGTCGACGTGTACGCAGGTAGCGTCATCCTCCTGCTCCAGGTCCTCCCCGCCATCAAGGGAAGGGACGAGCGCAGCCCGGAGGAGGTGGTGAGGGAGTTGGAGCAACAGATACGAGACCACAAGTCCCCCCTCCGCAGGTCACCCACGTGCAGGAATGCCTTCAAGGTGGCTATCCTTGGATATGTCGACGAGCCTCGTCAGCAGCAGCAGCAGCAGCACGAGGAGGAGGAGGAGGAGCTTCCTCCTCCTCCTCCGCAGTCCATCTCTCCTCGAGGAGACTCCGCCCCTGATCCTGTGCTGGAGACGAGGATCAACCCTGTTTTCTCCTTCGTGCCCTCCACGCGCATCAAGTTCCAGAGGTATGCCGTGAGGTCCATCAAGGGAAAGAAGAAACCAGAGGAGCTCAGAGTCACCTCCCCTGCCGGAGATTCGAGCCTGAAGGTCGAGCAAGAGGAGGAGCAGGAGAACAAGGCTTCGGAGAGGAGCAGGGAGGAGGAACATCCTTTGGCCAAAGGGGAGGAGTCACCGAAGGAGCTGGAGATACCCGAAGAGCAGCCTCTCGTCCTCCGTCTTGCACCCAGCACTTTCCCAGCTCCGCTCCCCCCCCCTGCTCCTGCAGCAAACCTCCCCAGCTGGGGTCCAGTTCAGCAAATGGGCGAACACCCCTCGCCAGTCCTCCACCCTCCTCCTCCTGTCCAGTATCCTTTTTATTCACCCTTGTATGCAACACAGCCTGGGTTCTTCTATCCTCCAATACAGCAGGACCTGTCATCCCAGCTTCCCCAAGGTCTCTTCCGCTCTCCTCTCCCCTCTCTCTTACTTTATCGTTAGGCTTCTACATGTACGGAACCCAGCCCGCCTTACAACAAGGTAATCGATCTACACTCCTCTTCCTCCACCCCTCCTTCTCCTCTCCTCCTCCTCTTCCTCCACCCTTCTTTCTCCTCCTCTCCCTTCTCCTCCCGTTCCTCATTGCATCCGCTTGACCCCACGTACTGTTCGAACAGGACTGCAGACTGGACCTCTTTATCCCTACCCGCCTCCCGTCCCCTTCTCCTCCTCCCCTGAGCAAGCGGCACCAGCGGTCTCCCATCTCTCACCCAAGGACATGAGTCACGTAGGAGGAAGCGTGTGGGTGACGGCCGAGCTCGTGAGGGAGCCGGTTCCCCCAAGGAAGGAGGTAGAGAAGCAGGTTCCGAGGAAGGACATCATCCTGCCGGGCAGGACAGCTCCTCGCATCACCATCCACAGGGAGAGCAAGGAGGAGCTCGAGGCCGCTCCTCCCTCCAATGAGTTCATCCGTTCCATGCGCATCATGGCGAACTTGTCGACAGATTCGTATGGCTCCCTCCTCTCTGCGAGCACCAGCGGGCGCCAGCAGTCGACGAGCAAGAGCCTCTTCCACGAGCTCTCCGACGCTCTTGCAACTCCCTCCGACCAGTCGGAGCCCCAACAACTGCAGCCCCAGGAGCCTCAGGAGGAGGCGCCGCCACAGCAGCAGCACAAGAAGGAGAAGGAGAAGGAGAAGGAGAAGGCAGCAGACATGTCAGAGGTGGCGGGGGTTGGGATCTCGATCCAGCAGCAGAGCTATCACGACCACGAGGTCTTCCTCGTCGTCGGCATGAACGACAGCGGGCCCGCTGCCACCTGCGGCATGATCAGCGTCGGAGACGAGCTGGTCGCCATTGACAACTGGTCGGTGGAAGGAGCAACTCCGGCAGAGCTTCTTGCTCACCTGGTGGGGCCCATGAACAGCATGGTCATGCTGAGCATCTACAGCAAGTCTGCGTGTCAGACGCTCCACATCGTCCTCCAGAGGACTGTCAGAGACGTGGGCAAGCGAGGCAGGACAAGCTCCTCCACTCTGCCTCCTCCTCCCTCCTCCCTCTTGTCCAGCCCCACCCGCCCGCAGGACTCGGAGGCAAAGTACAAGGCAGAGCTCTTCGTCTCCGACCTCTTCTCCTCCACCAAGAGTTTGATCCGCATGTTCGAGGAGCAAGAGGACACGGCGCTGCCGCTACTCAAGTCCTCCTCCTCCTCCCCCTCCTTCCAGCCCAGCACCAGCAGCGTCTTCGACTGGCAGAGTCAAGGGACCTCCTCTCAGGTGATTCATCCCAACACCACAGACACATCGAGCAAGGTAACCTCCTCCTCCCTCCCTGCTCCCCCGACAGACCGCAGCAACGAGCTCCAGACCTGGACCCACGAGCGTCGAGTGCAGGAGGAGGAAGAGGAGGTTGGAGACGGGGATCCCTTCTCCTACGAGGAGCATCGGTGCCAGGACTACCTTGCCCTCAACCTCCACCGGGTCGCCATGCACGCAAGTCACTGGGAGCCTCCGGAGCCTCTTTTCTACCCCACGTCTTACAGCAAGTCCAGAAACATGCGGGAAGCAGAGGAGTACGGCAGGGAGAAGCTCTTACCCATCAGCGAGCCCTCCTCCTCCAAGTTCAACGCCGGCATGCTCCTGTAACGTTGTTGTCGAGCTGATGCGAATTACTTGCCTGTAGAATTTAACAACCTTGAAGAAAGAGATTTAGATTTCGGTTTACTACGTTTGTCATCAAGAACGTCATTGCAAGAGTTCTTGTTATCTAATTTGTGGAGTCAATCTTCGAAAAGACAGCCATTGCCTTTGCTTTTCCGTATCAGCCCTGACTAGACTGGCCGTCCACAATATCTCGACCACTCAGATCTAATTTCTCACATGTACATAATCTAACCTTTCAATCTCTGAAATCACGTCGATTTCTGTCACAAACTGCTCGCATTCAACATCTGAACCATCACCTCCTGGACCTTGTGATCCCTTACCATCTGATCGGGCATCTGCATCCAACCCAAACACGCTATTCACACTCTCATGCACAAAAGTCGGGAGGACGAAGACGAATCGGATCGGAACTCTTCCAAGTTTCTGAGTGACTTGGAGGGTAAGGGACCGAACCTGCTGTCGGTCAAGCGCCTCAGCCGGCTGCATCAGGATGCTGAAGAAGAAGATACATCCGTCGGAGAACGCAAACGAGTCAAAGAAATCTCCAGTTTTGATCCCCGTTTGGATGTACTTCCCAGACCTGATCGTCTCCTTGGGAACATACCGGAACGAGCGCGTCTCCTTCAAGTAGCCCTGGAACTGGAAAGGCAGCGTCACTGCTGTATCAGGATGCGGACCCGGTGAGCTCCTCGCTCGGCCTCTGCTGGAGGAGCAGCGAGGCTCAAGGCTCAAGGCTCTGCACTGCCCAGCTCCCCGGAGCCAGTGATGCGTCAGAGTCTCGAACAACTGGAACCGCAAGAGGGCAAACGAGGGACGAGGCTCCTTGATCAAGAAGTCTTGGAGGCTCCTCCGGTTCCATCTGATCATCTCCAAGAAGACAAGGTCCTGCACTCGAGGAGAAGCAAAGTTGAAGATCATCTTGTCGTAGTCCTGCGAGGGTTGAAGTTGCAACAAGGAGAACGGGAAGGTGTCGTCCGTGACTTTGCCTGACACGACATCTTCGAGCATGGAAGACAGACATTTCACTTTGGCGCATTCGTACTTGAGAGAGTCTTTGGGATCGGACACGAAACATCGAGGAACGTTGCCCCAGTCACAAGTGATCGTCTGTATCTTCTCGGGTGACTGGGTCGAGCAATGAATCCCAAGGAAGTAGATCTCAGGCCAAGTCCAGCAGGGGATGTAGTATGTCAACGTGTACGTTCTGCGGAAAGAGTTGTAGGGGCTTACACCAAGGCTGCCGAAGAAGATTGTCTTCCAACTGCATGGCGAAAACGGCTGCTGCCCGGGTTTTGGATCCGACAAGTACCAAACATCTGCATCCAGGTAGTGAAGATCACAACTGGGAATCATCTCAACCGAATCCCTGTTGATCAGATAGAAAGAGTCATGAACATGGTACAAGATCTTTTGTGCCATGTCTAGCAGCTTCCAGATCCAGAAGTACGCAAACCATGAGTTGCCACATCCAGACTTACCCAGAAAGAGAACTTTGTGGTTTTGAGCATTGGGAATAGTCAGGCCATGGAATGCAAGTTGGAATAGATTCGTCCAAGCATTTCTGATGATGATTGTGTTTCCTGCTGCTTGTATCCCACCGATTGACGTCTTGAGGAGAAGAATCTTCTGCCCGTCAATGACTTTGACTTTCGCAACCTGAAGGGCGTGGAGGAATTTTACAAAGGGGTTTGAGGCACCTAGCAGGGAAAACACAGCTTCAGCTGTCGACCAGGCATCACAAGATTTCTCACCTAATCTTGCATCCAGCTCATGTTTTCTTCTGCACAGTCTTCGTTCCCATTCTAAAAGATAAACCTCCCGCAGGGCAAGTTGCCGTTCCCTCTCCTCCAACCTCAGTTTCAGTTCGTTGATATTGTTGTGTTCCTGCAAGTTTCTTGGTGTTTTTATCGTGTTTATTGTTGTTGCGGTCATCTTCTTCCGTCCTCGAGCTCTTGGTTGTGTTATTGTTTGCCTCTTTGTTCCTGCCCGATTCGATTCTTTGAAATCGTCACTGTCTGCCATATCTTCGGAGCTTGAACTGTTTCTGCATACGCTTCTCGCATTTGTGCTCTCGTCGTCGTCGTCGTCGTCGTCGTCGTCGTCGTCGTCGTCGTCATGTTCTGTTTCGTCTTGCGTCGAAGTCTCGCTTGCTGGTATCACCTCCTCCTTCTTCCTCGCTTTCCGTCTCCTCCCGAAGACTGTTGCTCTCCGCCGCGGCATGGCCGATAGCCACTGAACGGCCTGGGGGTGGTACCCCCTGGGATCTCAGCACAGGTAGATAGGGGTAGTTGTTGGTATAAATGGGGGTAGGGGTGGCAGGGTGGCAGGGTTCGCAATAAATCGTTTTTATACGGGATCCTACCAGAATGATCCCCCACACTACCCTACCCCCCACATTCCCCTACTTTGCACCCCCTTTACCGATCTCCTCTCGAAACATTTTGTAGAGTACCACCCTACCCCCATTGGGCTATTACACATTAGTAGTCCTGACCCACCCCTCCACCCCAATTGAGACTGCTACAAACTTAGTACCCCACCCCAGGTACACTACCTTGTGGCATAGGACCGGTACCCCTCCAACTTCATCACTTCGTGGCCCCTCATCCCCCGGGCCCCCATCCGATGCCAAGGCACGGGGGTGGAACTCGCGATAAAAGGGTCTAGGACCGGTGTCTTTCCCTCAATGATAGAGGGTATGTTGATGGGGAGGGGGTGGGTAAGTTTGCAGGAAATCGCAATGGCAGCCAGGCCGCGACCAGGTTTAAGGGTGATTAAAGCAAAAAGCGCGATGATGACAATTGTCAAAACCTCACAGTCTATCAGAGAAATGTGAGTTCTATCTCATGATACCAATGATTCGGATGTCACTATCGCTCTTTTTAATGTTTTCTACTTTTCGTATACCTCTTTTTCGACTTGCAACCAGCAATGTCACGTAATCCCCGAAACCCGGGCATGTTACCATTGAGGCCTCCATCCCATTGTGCTGATTTAGCATAAATTCGTCTTCGCTTGTTCTTATGTGTGCTGTTCTCAGCTTCCCCGTCATCTGACTTCATTGGAGGAATTTCTTCTCGTGTCTGACCTCGCCACAGCATTGTTGCTCGTCATTTTTGCGACATACTTGTCTCGAATTTTCTTGTAATCCCGTTCAGCCGTTGCTTTCCTTTCATTAATTTTCTCCAAGTCGTCGGTCAACAAGGCTATGACTCGTTCCTGAATCGATGCAACTGTCGTCCCTTCCAGACAAAGCTGTGCCAAACGTTCCTTTCGCGGTGCAAGCCGTTCCGTCAAATCCATCTTTCTTTCAGTGACACCGCCTAAATCTGCTTCGCAATCTTCGAATTCTTTACAAAAACCAGCATTGATCATCGTCTTGTCCATCGCCAACACGTGGATACCATCTACAAGGTTAGTACTCATCATTTCGCTGTAATTGTCCAAAATTTCGCTACATATTCTTGACCTTTTCACATCTCGTGTTTTCATGTCAGCACTTTGATGCTTGCAAAGAGTAGAGATGCATGGCAGAGGCAAGTTATGTAAAGCCTGATCAGAATGGAAATTGTCTGTAAACTTGTTCCCTGGCCCTGACAGGAACCGCAACATTGTCGCATTGCCAAGGTTTTTGAGTGTTGATGCGAAACTGATAATCTCCGGGGAGAATCTCATGCCCCTCGAATCTTTCGCTCTAAAACTTTGACGACACCAATCCATTACCAAGTACGGCATGATTTTGTGTGTTGTTCTGAAAGCGTCGATATCATTACTGGCAAACATCACCAATTCAGAAACTACATCTGGCAATCCACAAGCATGTAAGTTTGAAACTGCTCTTTCGACATTGCATATCGCAGAGAACTCATGCTCCGATGTTTTCTTTTGTGCTTGACACAGAGAGTCGTGCTCACTCAGAATCCTTCGGATGATTTCACATCGGGTGTTGCCATCAAGGGTTCTGAACGTTTCACAAACTGTCTGAATGAACAGCTCGGAGTCTGCCTTGGTGTGCTTCTTTGGGGGACATGGATCAACATGCTCATCCGACAATTTTGCATATCTGCAGAATGATCACACTACAGAGAGGGGAAGAAAGCAACATCACAGACTTACCGCAAAAAGTAATCGTGAATCGTGGATTGTAATGAATTCAAATCTTCGAAATGTGAGGTAGACCACTTTTCGATTCGGGAAAAAAGAGTTCGATGCTTTCTGTGCATATTACCAAGCTGTGTACGAAGTCGATTTAAATGCTCATACATAGCAGTGGTTCCTGCATGTGGATTTCCAGATGCTTGTTTTTCGAAAACCTTGGTGTAACAGTAGAGAAAGCATTTCGCAAACCCTTCTGATGTATGTCCGTAAACATCTCCAAGGACTTTTAGCTTCTTTTGGACTTCAAACAAGGATACAGAACGAAGACTTAACTTCAGATGCTGGGTCGCTGAAGTGAGAAGATTGTTGTCTTCACACTCCAAAGACAAAGTTGCATGATCTTGACATTGCAAGAAATCCAACAGCTTGAAAACCAAGGTATCATCCCACTTCGAGAGCAAAATCCGCTTAGAACCACACTCATCCTTTTGGGTTTTGAATAAATGTACACAAGTTGTGCAAACAGGCACACCTTGCCATCTTCGAACACTGGCCTTCTTTCTTGGTTTTTGGCATGATTGGCATGTTTCGGTCTTCCGCACCTTCGGCTTGCCCATGGCGAGGGGGGTCACAGGTTTGCCCGCCAAAAATCGGATTTGAATTTTGTTGTGATACCCTGCCATGGCATGCAGAACCCCCTGAAAAAACTGCCATAGCGCCCCACACAGACCGCATGGAGGCGAAGCGGGGGGGGGGGGGGTATTTAACTAATTATTTGTACTGTTTAATTCACCGACCAGGGGTTGGCCCGCCTGTCAATTCGAACATAGTAGTTCTACCCCCGTGATGCCAAGGGCCCTCATCCCGTTTCATCACCAGCCTCATCGCCCTCATCCCCCGATAGCCTCAAACTAATAGCACACCGTACAGCAGCATAGCACAGGCCTCGTCGTCCTGTAGGAGCTGCCATAAGAGCTGTCACGCCGCCGATGCCTCACAGGAGCTGTCATTGGAGCCTAACATTGTTGACATAGCTATGACTCGGACGTTATGTAGTTGCCAAGTTTCATTGATAAGCCCGGTGTAGTCACTTGACTCGAAGATGATGTCCCGGTTGCGAGGCCGGGCCCGGCATCCTTTGCTTCACTCACATTTACAGTTCCCCCCGTTACCTGCAGCACCCACGTCAACCTCCTCCTCCCGCAGCCAATGAAAACTTACAGTTTGTGCATAGAATGCAGTCAAAATTACACTGACCGCTCAGGCACTCGTTGTGCGAGTATCTGTTCATCACACGTCAGCACACGGCATGCAGGCAGCATCCTCCTACTCTGGCGGTCGATTTGTCCCGTCGCCGCACGTCTGGCCACTGGGTTTGGGATCGATACACTGACAGTTACCATCTAGAGGAGGCAGGTCAGTCGGCAGGAGCAGGGCGAACTTTCCTCTCTCACTGTCGCAGTTGGGGCAGAAGATGGGATTCTTGCAGCGAAAGTTGCACACGCCACTCGCACACATGAAGTTGAAGTGCCAGGGCTCCAGCCAGTGCGACTTGGTGTCTCCGCAGTGTCGCCCTGTCAAGCAGACGAGGATGAGCTAAGTGCATGCAAGGGAGGAGCTGACCTTCTCGCCGAGGTTTGAACTTGGCTGGGATTGGTATCTGCTCCTCCTGCAGGCAACATGCTCACAAGGTCGCTGGGTCGAAGGAAGAAGCACCTGGTGACCAGGCTCTGACTTAGGAGGCGGCATGATGCAGTTGTCCCAGCGATGCTTCGACTTTCCTTCAGGGCCCTTCTGCTCGAATGTATCAGCCCTCTCCTCCTCCTTCCCTGCTATCTCGCACATGGATGTATTGCCCAGCACCGCATTCGTCTCCCTGAGAGAGGGCATCATCAAAGAGCAATGACGGTAGAATATCTTCCTACCTCTACTTCACACCAGGGTGTGTTATGATCATCCCAGATGCAGATGTTGTGTTCCTAATAACACACATCAGTTCCAGCTTGTCCCCCGGTCTCTTCTTCTCACCTTCCCCTTCCACTTGAAAGGAAATTTGCATTTACAACCCAAGTGGGTGACAACCTGGAGGGGCCTCAGCGTTCCAAGTTGTCGGCGACTGACTCACCTCGGGGGGCTCGCAATGGTCCCACCATCTAGTCGCTCCTCCCTGGGGGAAGCGAGCTCAGTACTCGTAGATGCGAGAGGAGAAGGAGGAGCAGGAGGGCGAGGAGAAGGAGGAGCAGCAGGAGGACGAAGAGAAGGAGGGAGAGCAGGGGTGAGGAGGAGGTGATGGTGGACCTAGATTCTGAAGAGAGGAGGGACACAACAAGTACCTCGAACGAGTGATTCTTGTCTCTAATCTTGCTGACTTTTCTCGGAGTGAAAGTCTCAAAGTCTTGTCTTCCATGCCTGCATGTTCTACTCTTACAAGCACGCCACGGCTACATGCAGAGCAGCAACCCGTGCACGATGAGGCTGCCATACTCCTCCCCGCATCCTTCCTCCTGCTCCTCCACGTAGCACCAGGGCGTCTGCGTTCAACCTGAATGACCGGGGTGCGGAGGAAAGGAAGACTGAAGCACCTGGTGCCCGGCATCGATACACTTGTCGTACTCCTTCCCCTGCAGACCTGTCAACCTCGCAAGCTCGAGCTCTGGGAAGACCGACCTGGAAATCGAATGGGAACTTGCAGCAGCAACCTTTGACAGTGTAGACGTTCGAAGGGCATTTCTTCTCCTCTGAGACTGTCTCGTTCTTTGTTTCCTCGGTGGTCGAGGAGGGAACGGGTGTTGTTTCTGGCATTGAAGCGCAAAGTTACTTGAGAGAACTTTCTGTGCAAAGTCTGCGACTATAACTTACCCACTGCCGTCTCCTCGTTTTTGACCTCCTCGCTTTTCTCTTCCTTCTGCTCCTGCTCTTCCTGCTGCTGCTGCTCCTCCTCCTGCTTCTCCTCTTCCGGTGGCTTTTCTTCTTCCTGCTCTTCCGGTGGCTTTTCTTCTTCCTGCTCTTCCGAGGTTTCCTCCTCCTCCTGTTGCGGCTCCTCCTCTGGCTCAGCCTCCTCCTCCTCCGGCGCCTCTTCACTTTTTTCTGTTGTGGCCTCGGAGAATGCATCTTCAAGAGCCTACATAACTTGTCGGACATACACACTCTCCTCATCCATAAGAACAACACCTTATTGAAGACATCGGTGATTGCAGACACGTCAGGTTTGCTTTCAGGCTTTGCCTTTTTCACCTTTGAACGAGTTGAGATGTACAGCAAGACACAGCAAGACAAGACACCAGCCGAATTTGCCCGGTCACCAGCTCACCGTTGACGTACGCATGCACATTGGCCCATCCTGTCGACCAACTGCTCAGTCGTCATCGTCACATTTCAAGAGAGCAACACCGCTGCGCATGTCTTCATTGGCGAAGTGAACATGGTCCACGATCAGAGGAGAGTTCAGTCCGTGTCCTGTGCTCTTCCATCAGCTCAAGGAGCACGAATCAGCTACTGGTACCCGGAGGAAGCACCACGTGCTGGTGAACCTTAGGCACCTCCGACACATGCACTGCTGACTCAGGAATCGATCCTTTGCCACCAGCGATGCTGAACTGCCCGTCGAGCTCATGAGCGTGCAATCTGCTTCTGTCATGAAACGGGCAACATCAGTATACTACAACAGAGGAGGCGATCTTCATCGCACCCGGGAATAGAAATCTGCATCAGCTCTATCGTATCCTGCGACTGAGATTAATGCAAACACGACTCTCTCCACCGCCATGCATGTTCGACCTCGTCCAGGTATCCTAGTCCCTCAATCCCATGGGCTGCCTTCACTCCGTCCCCCTGGACAGTCATCACACGTCAGAGGATGTAGGAGCTCCATCAACACAAGTACCAGCATACTGGAGCGCATCGCCATCAAGACAACCTGCCGGCACCTTCCATCAGAACATTGAGGAGGACAGAGAGGACAGAGGACCGAGACGGCAAGCGAGCCGAACAGCAAGTAAGTCTGCGACCGCGTGAGCAAACTTACACCATTACGAGACGAATGGCACATACCACCCGCATCATATCCAACTCTTCCTCCCAGTCTTCAAGTTAGCTTGTCCTCCTCCGTCTCTCCCCGACTGTCTCCTTCAGACCTTCCGGACGATTCTTCCCCAGCCCACTCGTCTCCTCTCCTCCTCCTTCCCCTCAGCACCAGCTCTCTTCCTCCTCCCTTGCCATGCTCCGCTGGAAGCCGCCTCGCCGAGAGCGAAGGGACGCCATGGCTTGGGGTGGTCTGCCAGATTTCGTGGTACTCTGTGCACGAGTGGGGATGAGGGTCATGGAGGCCGCAATGCGTGGAGAGAAAAGGAGGGAAAGTAGGAGGGGAGGAAAGGAACGAGGGAGGAGGATGGGGGATGGAGGGAGAGGGAGGGCGAGGAAAGATGAGAGGAGGAGGGGAGGAAGAGATGTTTGAGCATGTAAGGCATGAAGACAAGGACAGGAGGTTTGAGAGCTGGCAAGGGATAAGGATTACGACTGATGGTTCGGCCAGCGATGTACTCATGGAAGAGTGGGATAAGGATAAGATGATGGCGGCTTGTGCAAGATAAATGTCGATAGAGACATATATCAAAGAGAAAATGTCGAGAGGGGTGGAGGTGGATCATGAACGAAACACAGCTCTGTCATAGATCATGTTGCCCTTGCCGTCGGAACTTCGCACTATTCATGGCGTCTGACGTGTGTTCAGGTGATGAGGACATCTCGACCAGCTCCTCTTTCATGTGCAGAGGAGAGACGAGATGCGTTCCT